GATTATATTCATAAGCCCTCAGCACAGCATTTATCTGGCCACGTCAGCAGGCGGCGACTGTCCGGGTTGATGCATTCCTTCTCTTCTCAGGGAAGGGGGAAGCTGTAATGTTGTGTTTTAGTTTTAGGTTCAAGTTAGGCGACCTTGGCAGTGCGCTACAGTCTGTGGTAATATATAAAAAGGATGCATGGTATTACGAAAAAACTGTTCCTATATCGTCATAGAGGTCATATGACATTATCTTGCCATCTTACTTGGGCACCACTATATTAGTTTCCTTGTTTTATCTTAACCAATATACCCTACATATCCAAATGTAGCACACATCGTGCAGGGAAAATTTTAACCGCAAAATTAATGAGCTCAAACTAAATCAAACGAAGCACAAAGTGCGCCGCTGGCTGTCGTTCGGTTCGCTGTTTTTGTCCGCCCAATGGTGGTGGGTTGACCACTGTGCCGAGCTCTGCGGCAATCCCAGGGGCAGCGATGGCAAGGGGGTTTCAAAGGGGGATGGCGAGAGGCGAACCAGAGCGATTGCATTCGAGAAGATAATGCAAACATACGCTTGTTTGCACAGCGCTCAGAGAGCAGAGCCGAGCAGAGCAGAGCGAACGATTTGATGCTAATCGCCAGAGACAATTTAATCTCTAATCAAAATTCAAAATTCACAAATTTCCAAATCGGGCAAGAGAGATATATAGAGATAGAGAGATTGGTCGCAACGGGGGTGTGGGAGATAAATTAGTGGGTGCAATCATCGGTTGTCCAGAGGGTGACTTTGCATTAACCGAAGGCTATTAAACAACATAAAACGCAATCGTTTGCTTTGTTTGCTGAGGCTAAGAACTTATTAAGGGACATATTAAATTACAGTTCGGGAAAATGAGGGTCATCAACTTTTGATTGCATTTTAAAGTCTGCTTATTATATATAAATATTAAAAAGCAATTTCTATTCATTTGCATAAAGTTTAATGCTCAATATTTCTGATTATATAACATAATACCATTTTTATCAGTGTTCCCCAAACCCTTCAATAAGCAACACACACCCCCCTGAGGGTCGAACTGTCGTGTTTGTTTTTGTTTGCACGGCCAATGCATGCGTTTATTGGAAATCGGAAAAATATTATTTTGTTTACATTACCAAAGGATTTTCACACGTTCCAGTGAATCGACCACCGTCGACCAAAATATTTAATTATTGATTTATAGCGCTGGATAACCAGCCAAAGGCCAATCTACCCCCTTGAACCGCCGAGGCCATTAAAGAGCGCAGCGTTAACGAGAAAATTAAACAACTAAAACTCAAAATCCATGGAAAGCGAGTTTCTTCAGAGAAAGAAACCCAAAATAAAAACCCAGGAATAACGAGCAGGTTGTGCTGCCCAAATATCGAAACAAGGATTGGATCGGCATTTTCGCTTTGAAGTCGCTGGTGGCACATGCAACTCAAGATTTCTCCTTTATGGCCATTTCTTCATGTTTGATTATGGCAAACGGATAAAGACAGCCCAAACGAGGCCTCGGGCATAGGACAAACAGAACCCACGAATTTTTGTGGATGCTGCAGTTGTTGTTGATTCACAGATTGTAAAACTGCATAGCCTGCATTGGCCACACTCTGCCGCGCGACTCGCTGAAGTAAGCAAACAAACAAACAGATCGAGAGTCTCAAAAACTCACAAACAATCTCGGGAAAATCCATTGCACCTTTCCCTGAAACGACGCGCGACGTTGGGCAAACAATACAAGGAATTGCCGATTCGATTCCCGATTCCCAAAACGGAGGAGCCGAGGGCAGGAGGGCAAACAAGTCGGACCCAAGCAGCGGTCCCCTGCAAGTCGATTGTGTAATCGACATTAAGCCGACGTCGACTGGCTTAGGCTTGTCCAAGAAATTAGCATCCCGGGCGAATGAACACGGCTCCAGCATCATCGGTGCATTCAGGATTTTGATGCTATTTGGGCTTAAGAAAGGAACCCTATTGAGGCGACGCACGAACAGATTGCTGAAAACCTTGGTAAACAAATTGTGAAAAATGGGGTCCAAATATGGGATGTTATACCTCCATAAGCTCGAAATGTAATCTATTTTAAGTTTTTATTGATGTGCACCCAAAAATGGAAAATTTAATTTTTGGCCATTTTTGCAAAAAAGACGATGGTACCCCTTATTAAAAATGCGAAATTTGGGCAAAAATTTATTTTCTCAAAATCCAAAAACGTGGGATGGGGGTGGTAAATATTGGTCATTAGCAGCACAAAACAGTTGTTTTTATGACTGTGCGTCTTGTTTTGACCGAGCTAGAGCTAAAAATCCGAAAATAATAATGCAAATTTCTGTGAAGAATAGGTTTTTTGACTTTTGAACCATTAAATCAGCACTGGCACCAACAAAATCAGAACAATCCTGTTAAAAGTATGTATAAAGGTTTAAAGTTTTGGTTGTTAGCTGCATGAAATAATCAATGCTTTAGTCATGCGTCTTCTTTTGACAGAGTTAGAGCTAAGAAACGGCAACCAAACCGGAATCTCTGCTGCCAAAAGACGTATACATGACTTTGGGCCCAAAAAAATCAGTTTTTTTGTCATAGCACAGTCAAAAATGGTCCAAATGTGGAATGCAATACCTCGTAGGGGTCGTAATTTAATTTCTATGATTCCCAATCGATTTGCATTAAAATCTGGAAAACTTCATTTTTGGCCATTTTTTGAAAATTTTGATGATGGTACCCCTTATCAAAAATGCGAAATTTATCCGAAAATTAATTTTCTCAAAATCCATAAACGTGGGATGGGGGTGGTAAGTGTTGGTCATTAGCAGCACAAAACAGTCGTTCTTATGACTGTGAGTCTTGTTTTGACCGAGCTAGAGCTAAAAAACCGCCAGTAATATTGCAAGTTTCTGTCTGTAATGGGTTTTTTGACTTTTGAACCATTAAATCAGCACTCGCCCAAACAAAACCAAAACAATACTTTTAAAAAGTAGGTATAAAGGTTTAAAGTTTTGATTGTTAGCTGCATAAAACAGTCATTGATTTAACCTTGCGTCTTGTTTTGACAAAGTAAGAGCTAAGAAATGGCAACAAAACGGGAATATCAGCTGTCAAAAGACAGTAAACATGATTTTGGGCCCAAAAAATCAGTATTTTTGCCATAGCCGAGTCAAAAATGGTCCAAATATGGAATTTTATATCTCGTAGGGCTCGTAATTTGATTCCTGTGATGCCCAATCGAGTTGCATTCAAATCTGGGACATTTCAATTTTTTCCATTTTTTGCAAATTTTGATGATGGTACCCCTTACAAAAAATGCAAAAATTGGCCAAAAATTGTTTTTCCAATTTCAGACTTACAGTCAAACAAGTCGTTAGTTGGGATCGTTAGCTGCCCAAAACTGTCTTTATTTTATCTCTAAGCCTTGTTTTGACCACGTTATTGAGGTAAAAACCGATAAAAAATATAGCATATTGTAAACAAATTTCCAGATTTTTCTAGTATCAGTAGAAATTAGTATTTTCCTCCTCGTACGCCTAAAAACGGCCCAATCATGGAATGTTATACATTATTGAGCTGAAAATGTAATCTATTTTAACTTTTAATCGATTTGCATCCAAAAAAATAATATTTAATTTTTGGCCATTTTGCAAAAAAAAACGATGGTTCCCCTTATAAAAATGCAAAAATTGGTCAACCAAAATTCTTCTTTCTTTATAACTCGGTTTTTATTGCATTTTGTATTGAAAAATCTTACAAATGAAGTTTGAACTCTATTAAAGTCAGCTTAGCTCAATCAACGGAAGGGAAAATCACCACCAGCAAACACTTTTCATTGAGGAAGAAAGTCTCGGGAAATATCAAAATAATAAACCGTGAGCGGACGTCTCTGGTGAATGGAGTGGCACAATGATGTGGCTGATAATGAAGAAGTTGAGGCGAAGGAAGCTGCCACTCAAAGGCGTCGATTTGAAGGGCAAAACTGTTCGCGGCATTATCCTGAATACTATAAGATGTCGTGTGAGTGTGCATCGGGGATCGCACTTTAATTCACAGTTGAATTCACGAGGCCAAAACGTGTCCGCAACAAATGAGCAGCCATAAAAAACGGCTGGGAATGCGCGTACTCCTGAAATCGGTGGCCGAACAATGGGAAATCTTTGCAGAAAACGTTCGGCGTCATAATTCGATTGTCCACTCAAATGAAATCGAATGCACAAATCAGGAATCACATCGAGGGGAAGGAAACTTAGAGTGAGGTTTTTGGTCGAGGGTGAAAAGTTTCTCAGAAAGAGGGATCTGCCGGCAGTTCCCAAGCAATAATAACAATAATTGTTGTGTTACTGCCTCGATAAGCATATTGCCGCAAGAGTGTCGTGGAGTCGGTCGGGGGTTTTCTCCCCTCTAATGGACCGACGGGATCTCCATTCAAGTGTTAAGTGTCAGATGCAGGATAAAAGCGTGCAGCATGCAGCAGCGTGCATCCGAGCAGCGGCACAGGATATTTGTGTGTTTGGCCTGTCCTCTGCGATTGCCAAACACATCACACATCCCGGCCAGCAATCGCACTTTTAATGCATACTTCAAGCAAACTCGGGGCGTTGGCATCATGATAAGGACCTCTAACAAATGACAGCCCGAAAATCAGAGTTCACAATTTTGTTAACTCAGTGTGGGTGTGTTTTGGGTGTTTAGTGAGGACTCCTGCCAGAGGCAGGACCCATGCGACCCTTCGATAAGGGCAGAAAACCAAAGTCAAGTTCAATTTTTGCAATGCACTTTAAATGTTATCTGAGCCTGCAGAACGGCAAGGATGGCCAGGGGTGGGAAAGAGGGAGGCTTAGGCCTGGCACAGGACACAATATGCTTGATGATAAGGATTAACCACGGAGTTGGGTTTATCCCAGCCACAAAAAGTGGGAGTTATATAAGGATTTCATAGTTAGAAAGCGGATAGCTAACTTCCAAAATGTGTGAAAATATAAGTGTTAATGAGACTTTTTGTTATATCGTATATTTTATTCTTATTGAAACTCAATTACATTTTTATGGTGAAAGAAGAAGAAGTAATAAACAGGGATGTATTTTCAAAATGATAACTATCGCAAACTAAAAACTATCGATTATTCATTAATGTGATTCCTTTAACTTAATACATAACAATACTTCCCCCTCTTAGGGTGATGATGAAAATATAATTCTTGGTTGTCGTATGCGGGATGATCGTCGTAGGGTTGGTTTTGTGTCCACCTGCACCTGTGGTGTAGACGAATCCATTTGTGGTGCTTGTTGAGTTTGCTCCAGTGCATCCCTATGATCCAGTGATGGCGAAGTTATTGGAGTGCTGAAAATGTCATCATTATCTTCTTCATTGGTGGTACTCTCAATATCTCGGTGGACTGTATCACTTGAAGATCCCGAAACTGCGTCTTTGTCTTCGGAAGAGTATTCCAGTAATTTGCTCTCCCTCTCGCGGATGAATCCTTTTGCACCTTGTGAGATGCAACCTCGCATTTGGTTGATATGTCTTTTGAAGAGTTTTCCATTGTATAATATTTCATAATGAAGATCTCCGAGACGCTTTGTAATTTTTCCTTGCACCCATTTGTCCATTCGAGGGTTTCCGGATAAAAAGTAAACTTCATCGTGCGAATGGAACTGTCTATATGAAGGGTTGAAGTTCATGACCCGTTTTGCGGAAACTTTCTCTGTTACATTTTCTGGACGGATTAAATCAAGTCGGGTACGCAATTTTCTGCCCAAAAACAATTTTGCCGGAGGCTCTCCGGTAGTGCAGTGTGGAGCATTTCGGTATTGTTGTAAGAATTCGTTCAGGTCTCTTCTCATTGTGTCCGAAGATGTTCTCATTGCTTTTAATGCCTGTTTTACTATTTGCACATTTCGTTCGGCTTGCCCGTTTGTGGCAGGATGATATGGCGCCGTTAATTTGTGATATCTGATTCCCGCAGATGTAAGGTAGTTTTTAAATTCTTTTGACGTGAAGTTTGTTCCATTATCCGTAACCAGCATCAGTGGGACTCCGTAAGTTGCAAATAATTCGTCTAAGATGGCGATCGTTGCACCTGCCGTAATTGTTTTCGTTACCTTCACCTCTAACCATTTTGAGTAGGCATCAGTTATAATTAATAACATCATACTATGAATTGGCCCCGCGTAGTCTATATGAATGCGCTCCCATGGGGTTTTAGGGTATTCCCAGTAGTGGTCGGAGCATTTCGGCGGTAGTTTAGCATTTTTGGCACAGGACTCGCATGCTTTTCCTGTATTTTCGATGTCTTTATCTATTCCGGGCCAATACACAAAGGATCGAGCGATTCCTTTCATTTTTACTACACCTAGGTGTGCTCTGTGTAACTCATCAAGAATTGTTTGTCGTAATTTCGTGGGAATAACAATTCGGTGTTCAAACGTAAGGCAGCCATAAGAAAGGCCGTATATACATTCTGGGCTTTTATATCCATTCTTGGCCAAACACTGACCATTCTCGAGTAGTTGCAGAATCTTTCCTAAGTGTTGGTCCTTCCTTGTTTCTTGCGATATTCCCTTGGCTGTCACTGGAAGTTGCTTAATTTGTCGTATCATGAAATTGTCGAATTCATCAAGCGAAGAACTGTCTTCCACTTCCTTTATAACGCCCGCTTTGATTGGTAGTCGAGAAAGGTAGTCTGCATTACTGTTTTCTTTAGATTTTTTCGTTATTGAATCAAAATCAAAATTACTCATGAAGTCTGCATAATTAGCCATTCGAGAGATGCACAATGTTGGAAGTGATTTACCTGGGTGCAAAATTTGTGCGAGGGGTTTATTGTCCGTTATTAATGTCCAGTGCCTAGCGTATAAATATTTGAAGAATCTTTGGGTCGCCCATACGATGGCAAGTGCTTCTTTGTCGATTGGTGAGTATTTGAGTTCTGCTTGGCTTAACGTGCGGCTCGCATATGCAATTGGTCGTTCATTGCCGTTGGTTAGTCGATGAGATAGGACTGCGCCTATTCCTGTGCTGCTTGCATCTGTTGCTAGTAGTAGAGGTAGAGACGGATCATATGGCATCAGTACCTGTGGGGATATCAGAATTTGTTTAATTTGTTTGTATGCAGATTCTATTTCCTGAGACCAGTAGAATTTTCCTGTCTTCAAAACGTTGCGAAGCGGTCTTTCTAGTGTCGATAAGTTTGGAATGAAATTCGAATAGTATGTTGCTTTTCCCAAAAACAACTGTAACTGCTCTATTGTTGCTGGTCTGGGTGCATGTATTATGGCCTCAATGTGTTTGGTTGATTTGTGTATTCCTTGTGCGTCGATCTTGTGGCCCAGAAATTCTATAGATGATGCCGCAAATATACATTTTGATTTATTTAGTTTTAATCCGAAATTCTGCAGCTTTTCCAAAGTCTTCTCTAACGTTTTTAGCAATTCTTCCATATTTCCGGCGTATATCAATATGTCATCGAAAAAATTAAGTACATTTGGGATGTCCTGTAATACTGTTTCCATCGTTCTTTGCCAAATAGCTGGAATGTTTGCTGCACCATATACAGCGCGCGTTGGTCGAATGAGCCCGTGAGTGATTGTATTCAGTGTAAGGGTATGAGCGAACTCGTCGTCAATTCGTAAATGTGAATATGCATCAGTAATATCCAAGTGTGCGAATATTGTAGCTCCTTTCATCTGGTTGAATAAATCTTCAGCTCGTGGTATAGGATGTTCATCGATAATCATTTGGGGGTTTAATGTAGGTTTATAGTTGCCAGTTATTCGAATGCCCCCGGTCTTTTTGGTAACTACGTGTGTTGTTGAAGCCCATTCGGAATAATCTACCTTCTTATAGAATCCTGCAGAAATTTTCTTGTCGATCTCTTTTGCGTAGGCGTCACGCAATGCAAATGGTACATCTCTCGCTCGTGCAAAAATCGGTTTTGCCCCTGGTTTCAAGTGTACCTTAACTTCTGGCCCTTTGAATGTTCCTGCTGTAGTATTAAAAACCAAATTGTATTTAGTGAGAATTTGTTGAAGCTGACCTTTTTTGTCTTCTGGTAGTCCAGTTGCTTGTACTTTAATTGCCTTGATCGCGCTGCCGTTGGATGTAAACATATCTAGATCAATGGCGTCCTCAGTTCTATCTTCATCGAATAATTTCTCGAAGTTGATTTCCTTTGCAAATTGTGTGATCCACTCGCGTCCACACAGTGTATCCAGATTCCCCTCCACCACGTACAAATTAAGTTTCCGTGTGGTGTTTCCATATGTTACGTTAAGGGGCGCTCGTCCTATGCATGTAATTTTATGCCCTGTATAGCTGGAGAATTTGCGGTCGGTTTTCTGAAGACGCATTGAAGGTTTAATTGCTCGAAACGATTGCTTGTTTATAATACTGCACGGGGCACCTGTATCTAATTCCATTGGTAGTCGAAATCCTTCAATGTTCATTGTAATCATTTTTCTTGTTGCTGCCCTCATTGCATTGACTGAATTTGTAGGCTCTTCAAATTGCCATGCTGCTTGATTGTCAGAATCATCAGCTTCTGAAATTTGTTTGGTACTCGATCTACATACTTTGCTTATATGCCCGATCTTTCCACAATTAAAGCATTTCTCGTCTTTGAACTTACAGTTTCGTCGCAAATGCTGACCTCCACAGCTATAGCATCTTGTTACTTTCTTGCTGCTCTCCGATCGCTTTTTGATTGGGCTGTATCCCAATTTGCATGTTGGTTCGACCTCTGTTGTTGTCTTTTCGCTTACCGTGTTTGCAGACCTCAAAAGTAGTTCTCTGGAGTAGGCGGCTTCATATGCTTCTGCAAAAAGTAGCTGGCTTTTTGCGATCACCTCATCACATATACTGCGACCCTCCATGCCGAAAAGCATTTGTTCTGTAAGCATTCTGTCTAAGAACGAACCAAATTCGCAAAAGGATGCTGCTTGTTTTAAGCGAAGTACGAACGTTGCCAGTGGTTCCTCTGGCTCTTGTCGAAGTTGACGAAATTTGAAACTTTCTGCATACATGTTTCGTTTGCCATCAAAGTGATTAATTAGCACTTCTTTGATCTCCCTGTACTGTAATTCTTCGGGACACTTTGGACTGATCAGTATACGTAAGGCTGTATTCAATTCTGAGCCCATATGCACACGCGCGTAGTTGTGGTGCTCCTCCTCTGGCACCTTGCTGAGTTGTAGTGCCCACTCGAATCGACTGAAGTAATCTTTAACTTCTTCCCCGCTCTTGTAGCTTGGCATTGCAAACTGCGGCGTCTTTGCAGTTCCTGGAATCCCTGCATTTTGGCTACCTTGTGCCACTGCTATGCGAATTGCATCAGCCAGCGACTCAATGATCCCGCTTAGATCATTATTTGAAGTCGATGTAGCCCTCTCTGAATTGGTAGAAGCCATTCCTTTTGACTTCTGACACCACTGTTATATCGTATATTTTATTCTTATTGAAACTCAATTACATTTTTATGGTGAAAGAAGAAGAAGTAATAAACAGGGATGTATTTTCAAAATGATAACTATCGCAAACTAAAAACTATCGATTATTCATTAATGTGATTCCTTTAACTTAATACATAACACTTTTCTTCTCATAAAATCAGAGAATTACGCAGGGAATGATATTCCCATTAGACTAATTAACCTTCCAATAAAGTTAAATTCAAAACCAATCCTTAGGACACATCCCCTTACTGTTTCCAATTCATAAACAAACATTTACGCAGGAATAATATTAAATAAATGTAAATAACTTTGGGATTACAACGAGCGAGAGATGGCCAAACAATTTGTCAACATTTACTCTAAATGGCATAATTTCCGAGTTAACAATTTCATGCGAAAACGGAGTTTAGCTTTTAGGCCAAAGGGGGATCCTATATCCTGACTAGGACCTCTCCAGCTTCCCAGTTCAGAATCTCAGAGCGAAGTGTGGAGTGTGTGTGCCATCCGTTTGCCATTGTCATTTAGTTAAGAGTTTCCTTAATTGCAAACATGTCATCCGCCCTCCGCCACTGCAGCTGCCTTTTAAGCCCGAAGAGGATGCAACAGTTGCCCCAGCAAAATGATTTGGAGCAGAAAATTGTGCAAACAGCGGGGATGGAAGAGGAGGAGGCGGTGTGGTGGAGCATCTGGACGAGCAACTGAGTGTGCATCCTTGGCCGCAGCGTAAATAAATAAACGCATATTTAGAATAACATTCGCCAAAAGCTCTCCCGGGGAAATTCAGCAGGATTCACAACAGAAGGAATTAGGTTGCAGGATTCAGCAGGATGAAGGGCAGCTGTAAGCAAAGTGAATCGCAATTGCGATTTGTGTTTTAGCAGCTTGCTGCCCTGAACGGATTTGATAAAAAGTTAATCACATAAAATGCACTTGGCTGACTTCTCCCCCGCATCATAAATCCGAGTCACAGTTCCCAGTCACTACTGTGGCAGCAGTGAGGAGTACTCATAAATAATTGTCCAAAGCTCCACCCAGATTAGCCGGCAGCAAGTTGTCACAGAAAGTTGGTTGGGTTGGTGTCAACTAATTGCCAGTAATTTGGTTTTGTGGCTCAGCACTTTTCCGCCACTCTCTTCTCTCTGCTAGCTTAGAGCAGGATTTCCGGGTTAGGTGGGAAATGTGTGTGTGTGGAAATTTATAATTGTCAAAAATTACATTAAAATATTGTAGAAGAGAAAAGGTGTAGGACATAATTAGTTGGTCTAAAGTTAAGCGAACAGATTTGACAGGCTAAAGAAGTTTTAGAGAGAGTTTAACTGACATGGTTTTTGATCTGTTTAAATGAATGATTAACATTTAGAGAAAATGAAGATAATTACTGCTAGTTCTTGACCCATTTTCTTGAAAATCACTCAATTTCACACTTAACTAAAATAAAACCTTGAAAGTCTACTTGTTTTACCTTTTTTCATGGCTCCGAAAAACTTCTTTCCCATTCAAATCAAGATTGATTTGTGTTAAGCCGTAAGAAATTGGTTAGATCTACTTTCCAAAACAGAACAATCAGAGGCCATTAAAGACCTTCTCTTTTCCACTTGCTCAGTCGAAATCTTCTGGTTAACAGGTTCATTTTACAAGAATCCAATTTTCTCTACAGTTTTCCTGCTTTCTTGATACGCTGCATTAAGTGCAATAAGCGCAACCAAATAACAACAAACAAATCTCTCACAAAATGAACCATAAAATTGTACTCAAGACTGACAGATAGTAGAAGAAAAGACTGGCAGAGATGATTAGAAGCCGACGCTTGGAGTTAGTTTTTCAGGTGTTTGAAAATATATTAAGAAACGAAATTAGTGCAGGCAACCATTTTAGGTTTAATGATGCTCAAATTGTATTTCTTTTACGAGAAATAAAATTCCAACTCTTAACGGATTGTGGCGATGGCCATTAAAATGTGAAGAGTCGTAAACTAAAAATTGGTAGTGGGCAGGCAGACGAACCGACAGACAGACTGACTGACGAAGGGACAAAGGTGGGAACGAGTGTATCGTGTGGTAATTAGTATTAAAATGCATTAAAAAGAAGTTGGGAGAAAAACTCACACAATTCGTTTGCTGCTGCTTGGCCAATGTGGAAAGGTCGTAAATAAAGCCATAAAAATGTAAAGCAACTACCAAAATGAAACTGTGGAAACTTAATTAGTTTCACTCGCTAACGGTGAACTTAAGGTTACCCCAACTCCCCCTCAAAACAAGAAAAAAAAGGAAGAAAAAACTGCAAGTTCCAAGCGATAAACTCGAAGTGATAACAATTAATTTTTTGGTGCTCTAACCAGCTTCTAACTAATTTATGACTGCTGCCCGTTGACATCTACGTTTTTCGGACAGTTCGTAAACGTGAAAAGGAAATTGGTATATAAAGCATTTTCGAGTGGCCATAAAACGATGGGAATACCACAACATCAACGTGGGCGGAATCCCATAGAATGCTATGGAAAAACTGAATTACAAGCTCGATTGATTCGCAATGTTTTGTCTCCCGATCTCTCTCTCTCTCTCTATCTCTCTGGGTAATTATTTTGTACTTGCCGTCGATGGGGAAATACAAATAGCGGAATTGTAAATTGTTTTCCTCCTTTTGAAAATTCCCAACTGCAGAGGACCCTTTCCTCTCCTGTCCCGTTTTTGTCATCTCTAATCCCGGGATCGAGCTGCACTGTAGGTGCACCAGGGGATAATCCTGTCGGGCCACAATGCGCTGACGTTTGTGCCAGAGCTGTTGACATGCAATTTGTTGAGTGTTCAACCCCACGGCGCACATCCTCTCTGCATTCTAGGTCCTTGGTCCTTGGTCCTTGGTACGAGGGTTCCTCGGTCCTCATACCTTAGTCCCCGATCCCAGAGGCTAACAATTGACATTTACCCAGACCAGGTGACAATGTGAGCTATACTCTGACTGGATGCTGCTGCTGATGCGGATGCGAGTGCAGCGGCTCGAATTCGGCTTTGGATTTGGATTTAGCCCCAAGGCTTTGGCTTATTATTTGGGCATGTTTTTCCCATTTTTTGGCAATTTGTTTTCCCAATCTGCAGTTTGTTTTTTGACAAATTGAATACGTGATTTGTGCGGCTTGTTTGAGGTTTTTTTTTAACAGCATAAGGATTCTATAATGAGCAGAAATATGGAAAAACCATGATCCTCGTTGTAGGTATGAATGATCGTCTTAGGACGAAGGCTAAGTTGGTCTGAGCAGATTTTCTTGAAGTGGTCATCGTACTTAGGGTAAGATTATAGGTGATTTTAATTGAATAACTATAAAAATTAACCTAATCATAAATAACGTTTCTAAGGTAAAGAATATAAGTTATTTTCCACTGCCCAATGCTCATCTCTGATCTTCTTGCTGAACTTAATCCACATCTGCTAGGAAGCCTTTTATTTTCAAGTCCCCCCTCAGCTATTTACGACTTCATGTGCGATATTTATGAACTGTTAATTTGCCCCCACACACACACACACACTGTAGCCACTGTAAATGGCCAGTGGAAAACTTAATTAATTGTAGCTAATGCGATTCCCGACGAGAAAACTGAGGGGCTACCGAGCTGGCGAAGAAGCCACAGAAGTGAGCTGTGGATGGTCTCAGGGCTAGAGATAGTAAGCCAAGAGTGGAGCCGAGGACTTGCAATTTAATAAATTATGAGAACTGCAGCATGTACGGCCACAGGCTGAGGGTGGGGGCGGGGCAGATGGGTCAGGATGGTGGATTAAAAGCGAGAATTAAATAAAAGTATGTTTAATGTAATTTTTGAACCAACCAACAGAAAAATCAGCCGGAAGCTGAAAGAACTTTGCAGTTGGGAAAAATACATCTGGAAGAGGGAGGAGAAAAATCCAACTACGACCTGCTGAGCTCAGGCAATTGGGTCAGCTTAGAGGACTTTCCGTTTCTCTGTATTTTCCGAGGGCGAGAAAATTAAGAGGGTGTTAGATTAGCGGCTTGGCTGTGTAAGCTTTTGGTATAAGTTGACTGAAAAAAACAAGTTTAAAATCTGAAATTTGACTTTATTTATAATAATGGAAAGGTAAACACTTCTCCTTTATTATTGAGAGCAAACTTAATGTAAAATGTCCATCCATCCAGAAATCATAAAATGTTTCCCCCTTTTTATTATTTTTTTAATATACCAAAGGTAATGCCAAAAAACCTTGAGCTTTATTACCGGGTAAACATAAACTAACCTAATATAAAACAAACATAAATGGGGAAAACTTTCGCACAACTAAAGACAGAATAC